AGTCGGATGCTTAACCGACTGAGGCACCCAGGCACCTAATTATTATTTTTAAAATGAGATAAAGGAAAATATCGAAGTACATCATATGCAGTAAGAATCTACACTCTCTTCCATGGTGAAACTTACCCGGTCTGTGACTTGAAATCCCATGTATGACTCCCAAATTTCTATCTCTAGCCTAGTGCTCTCTCCTAAATGCCATGCTCATTTAGAAAGCTCCACTTGGCTGTCTACTAGACATCTTAAACTGAACGATGAACCCCTGATCATCTTTCCCAAAACAGCTCCATCTGCCACGCCCCCAGGTGATGGTAATTTCATCCTTCTTAGGCCTGTATCCCCAGAGCCACTTTTTACTTCTCTCATTCTCTAACACAGCACATCTCATCTTTCAGGGAATGCTATTAAGTCTACCTTCAGAATCTAGCCACTTCTCATCATCCTTACCACTACCACCCTGGTCCAAATTATCATCACCTCATCTCTCACCTGGATTAATGTAAGAGCCTCCCAACAGGTTTCTCTAATTACACCCTTTCTTCTCCTATAGCCTATTCTCAACACTGTAGTCAGAGTGATCTCTTGAAACAGGAGTCAGCAAACTTTTCCTGTAGAAAGTCAGAGAGTAAATATTCAGGTTTTTTGGGCCAAGAGGAAAATCAAGGCTATTACAGAGGTATTTCTACAAGAGAAGACAAATTTCTATGAAATGTTTGATAAAATTAAAAAATAGTAATTGAGGGTGCCTGGGTGGCTCAGTTGGTTAAGCGACTGCCTTCGGCTCAGGTCATGATCCTGGGGTCCCGGGATCGAGTCCCACATTGGGCTCCCTGCTCAGCGGAGAGTCTGCTTCTCCCTCTGACCCTCCCCCCCTCATGCTCTCTCTCATTCTCTCAAATAAAAATAAATAAAATCTTTAAAAAAATAATTGAGTATAATTTTTTGTAATACAGATCTACTTTTAAGACGTATTTGAGAGAGATAGAGAGAGCACGTGCGCACGCAAGTGGGGGGAGCGGAAGAGGGAGAAGTAGACTCCCCAGGGAGCAGGATGTGGGGCTTGATCCCAGGACTCCAGGATCATGACCTGAGCCAAAGGCAGATGCTTAACTGACTGAGCCACCCAGGTGCCCCACAGGTCTACTTTAAAAAAAATTTTTTTTAGCAATTTCTTTCCCCACCTTGGGGCTCGAACTCATGACCCTGAGATTAAGAGTCACATGTTCCTCTGACTGAGCAGGCCAGGTGTCTCATGTAATACAGGTCTACTAATGAGAATGGAATTTTTTTTAATTTTAATTTTATTTTAAGATTTATTTATTTGGGGGGGCAGAGGGAGAGGAAGAGAATCTCAAGCAGACTCCCCACCAAGCACAGAGTTCCACATGGGGCTCAATCCCAGGACCCTGAGATCATGACCTGAGCTGAAACCAAGAGTCAGACGCTTAACTGATTGAGCCATCCAGGCACCCCTCTTTATTTAATGGATTTTGCTTAATTGGGGTTCAAAGCAAGTGTTCCCTATCATCAAATCAACTGTAAATGGTTACCTGTAAAAACCATTCTTAGCTGATGGCCATATAAAAACAGGGAGCAGGATGGATTCACACTACAGCTGTAGTTTGCTGACCTCTGCTTTAAAATATTATCAGATCCTATCATTCTCTCAAAACCCTGTGAATTAGTTTTCTTCTTTGTGTAACCAATACCACAACTTCAGCAGCTTAAATACCCATTTATTATCCTCACAGTCTATAGATCAGAAGTGCAGGTGAGCTTGGCTGAGTTCTCTTGAATAGGGTCTCACAAGGCTGAAATCAAGGTGACCTCTTATATGGAAGACCTGGGAAAGAATCCGCTTCTAAGGTCATTCAGGTTTTTGGTAGAAGCCAATTCCTTACAGGTGTAGGCCTGACATCCTCAGTTCCTTGCCGGCTATTATCCAGGAACTACTTTTAGCTTACAGAGGCTTCCTGCATTCCTTATATGGTCCCCCTCCATCTTCAAAGTCAGCACAAGCACATTTACATCTCATGGTTTGAATCTCTTTGAAATTCCTTTATGCTACCAGCTGGAAAAAAAGGCTCTTTAAAGATGTCACCTGATTAGGCTAGGCCCACTCAGATAACTGTATCTCAAGGTCAACTGCTGGTGGGGGGCATCAGTTTTAGAAGTCTGCCTACCCCACCCTGCAATAATTTCCTACTCAGAGTCAAAAGATAAGGCACTTAGGAGGGCCAACATGATTTGTGCCACCTGCTACGCCCCAATCCCCATGCCTCTCTACTGTTATTTCCTGCTCTTCTCCCTCTGGCTTATTCTATTCACTCATACTAGCTTTCTTGCTATTTCTTGAACATGCCAGACACACTCCCAACCTGGGATCTCTGTGTGGAGCACTCTTCTCTCAAATATCTGATTTGTTAGCTTCTGTATCTCCAAGACTTTGCTCAACTTCCAACTTTTTTTTTTGAGAGAGAGAGAGAGCGAGCGAGCATGTGCACCCAAGTATGGAGGGCCAGGAGAACAGAATCTTAAGCAGGCTCCATGCTCAGCATGGAGAATGATGGGGGCTTGATCTCACAACCCTGAGATCATGACCTGAACTGAAATCAAGAGTTGGATACTTAACTGACTGAGCCACCCAGGTGCCCCTCAACTTCCATGTTTTCAATGAGACCACATCTGATCACATTATTTACTACTACAATCTGCACTCTCACTCCTGGCACTGCCTATTTCCCTTACCCTGTTCTATTTTAATTTTTTTTCTATTATACTTAGCACCTTTAACATACTATATACTTTGCTTATTTATGTTTATTGTCTGTCTCTCCTTGCCAGAATTAAGCTCCTCAAGGATAAGGATCTGTGTCTTATTTTATTTATTTTTAAAGATTTTATTTATTTATTTGACACAGATTGAGAGAGAGCGCACAAGTAGGCAAAGCAACAGGCAGGAGGAGAGGGAGAAGCAGGCTCTCCACCAAGCAGGGAGCCCGATGATATGGGATGTGATCCCAGGACCCTGGGATCATAACCAGAGCCGAAGGCAGCTGCTTAACCGACTAAGCCACCCAGGCACCCCTGTGTCTATTTTTGATTCACGTATGTATTTTTCTTTCCTTTTTTTTTTTAAGTAAGCTCTACTGCCCAATGTAGGGCTTGAACTCACGACCTTAAGATCAAGAGTCATATGTTCTACTGACTGACCCAGCCAGGCACCCCCTCACTAATGTATTTTTTGTGCTCTAAGCATCTAGCACAGTGGCTGGCACCAATAAAAATTCACTGGATGTTTTGGGAAACTCTTGTTTCTATTTTCTATATATGTATGTACATACTAGGTTGTGATAATAAAATGGTATTTATTACTGAGGAGAATAGTCAAGAGAGTTTGTAAAATACTGGGGTTAGACTATATGACTTCTTAAGTCCTTTCTCAATTTGAGCACTTATAAATCTCTATGTGTAGCTAGTAAATGTCCACTATATCTTTTGGGAGATGGCAAAGTTCACAGTCTAGTTTCTGTAGCAAGGCATTGAATACTGAAACATAACACTGACACCAAAAAAGCCATTAGCATCCCTGCCTGTTCTATAATAGTAGGTTAGGAAAACCTGGAAATAGCAAGAACTGCTGAATGCCCCAAAATATAAAAATCTGAACTTAATCCTTCCATGAAAAGGAGACAGAACTTGAGAGCAAATGACAAAACAGAACATTTCTTAGATCAAAATTTCCCAGATGAAAGCTTTCACACACTTACTGAAGAAGTGAAGAGGAGTGAAGAAAGATATCCCTTAAAGTGTCTGCCGTAGAAATTGTGTCCTGAATGGACTTTGGGAGCAAAGACCACTTCTGAAATATATATGATTTCCACTCATCCACAGGCAGATCCATTCTACTTTAGGTCTATAAAATGAATAAGAAAATAAGGAATTCAGATTTCTACAAATGCACAATTCCAGAAAAAAAATCAAGATTTCACTCAAGCAAATGTGAAGCAACAAAATCAATTGTGATCTTTTTCTGTGGTTTACATGCTGAGGATCTATTTTCTCTCACACCTATTCACTGAACATCATTTTATTCAGAAATATTTACTGAAGGCCTACTTTGTTCCACACACCAGGCTTGCCTCTTAGACCTCCATCTTCCCAAGCTCCTCAAGTCAGAAACCTGAGACATCCCAGATTTTTCTCTCTCCCTAGCTATTAAATTAACAAATGTTTCTATCTCTTACACAGTTCAGTTTCTTCTTTCAATCCCCAGATCATTCCTTTAGTTCAAGTCCTCACCATCTCTTGTCTGGCATCCTTTCCAGGATCATAACTAGTCTCCAGGTCCTCAGTTCCCTACCCTACCCCCTAAATTCAATTCATCCTCCACACTGAGACAGATGTCTCAGTGCTTTAATCAATGCTCCTCCAAGCATTTAGGGAAGCCCAGTACAAATGTGACCCCTGGGCTCATTTTCTAATGCCCAAGTCTCACCTCTTCCTTTGTACCCTACTACCCTGAGCTACTTAAAGCTAGCCCCAGCTTGCCAGGCTATTCACCTCTCTAGTTTTTGCATAGGCTATGCATTCTTCCGGGAGCATCCCTACCCTCAGAGTCCACCTCGCAAATCTGCACACATCCTTCAAGACCAAGTTTAAATGGCACCTCCTCCAGGAAGCCTTCCCTGATTTTCCATCTGTGCGTGCAGACACACTTTGTGTCTCTCCTGAGGTCCATATTATGTCTACCTGGAGTTAGGGCTACTCACTGCGGTAACTCCCTCGACAGACTATGCTCTCCTCTGAGAGCAGGGACCGGATCTTATTTACCTTCGGAGATCCCCACTGTGCCAAGCTCAGGGTCTAGCAATGGCGGGAGCTCGGCACTCGGGTTGCTGAAGGAATCGTTACCGCTTTGCCTATGGTTAGCAGCAGAGCTATCAGGGAACAGCTCTAACTCTCTCTTGGGCTAACAGTCGGTCTGCCCGTCAAAGGCCGAGCCAGGTTTTTCTCGGAAAGCTTCCGGTACAGGACCGCGTGCCCAGAAAAAGAACCCGCGTCATCCTTGGCGCGCCCCACGGCTCGGGCCCCGCCCCCAGGCGCAGTCGTCGGGTGACTAGGTCCTGAACCCGGGCCCTTGCATGTCACGTGGGCTCCCTCGGCCAATGCGGTGTCTGTTCCGCCCCTAAGCCCGCCCTTGTGACTTGCGCATGTCAGAAGGCGGGGGTGGTGCCTGCAGCCACTTGGCCCAATAGCTTTGGAGCGCGCGGGGTCCCGTGAGTGAAGCCGAAGCTGCGGAGAAGCAGGAGCGCGGGAGTTGGCGCAGCGCAGTCATGGTGGGCCACCTGAGCGAGGGGGCCATTGCGGTGAGGAGACGCCTGCGGGCAGGCGGGCTGGGGTGGCGGTGGGCCCTGTGGTTGTGGGGGTGGAGAAGGGAGAGAGGAGCTGGAGGGGATAGGGAGAGAACGCGAGAGGAGAAGATAAGGGGGGGACCGTCGGGTGACTCCCTAGAATTCTCACTCTCTCCTCGAATTTTTACTGTCGTCTTTCAAACATATCCATTTTTTTTTCTACTTAAGAAAACGAAGCAAAATTAACTTGATCGTCCTCCATCACCCTCCTGTGGCCACTCCCTATCTCCTCCCCGTCCCCTATCCACAGCCAAACTTCTCGAGTTGTCTGTTTTCAGCTCACCTCCCGTTAACGGACTCCAATCCGTTGTTCCCTCGATCACTATATAAAGAACCCTCGGAAAGAACCCTGGCAGAAGTTAGCAGTGCTTCCAAGTCGTTAAATCTAACAGACACTTTTCAGTTTTTAACTTAACCAGAGTTCTCAGTAGTGTTTGAGAGTTACTTCTTTTGAGCAGTTTTGAGCATTACTTCTTTCCGATAACACTCTTTTTGGCTTCTATGGCTTGGCTTGGCTGGTCTTTCCTCGTTTTATTTGCCGGTCCCTCATTGTAAGTTTTTGTTTACTCAAGGTTATGTTCTAGGTTTAGTCAAGGTTATGTTTTAGGCCCTCTTCTACCAAGACAATCCCATTACCAACTATGTCAGTTGCTCAGACATTTCTTTGTCCGGAGCCACCTTTATTCTGAAAGATAAACCTCTGTAATATGCCTGCCTACCTGATACCTCAAAGGCATTTTATATTCAACATGCCCCAAAGCAAATCCGTTATTCTACTAAGTTTGGGCCTCTTGGTGTTCCCTATCTCGATGAATGGCACCATTATCCATTAAGATAATGCTAGCCAGAAATTGTGGAATCATTCTTCCTGCAAACTTCCATCACCTTAGATGTTCAGTCCATTACCCAATCTGGTGTTTTACCTCCACACATGCCTCTTAAATCCATCTACTTCTCTTCTTCCACTCTGGCACCATTGTTTCTTGCCTGGACTACTGACTTCCACCCAGCATAACCTCCCCTCCCACGCCCACACACCTTCCCATCACTGCATATTCCCACTTGTTCTCCCTTCCTTTCCAACCTTTTTGTTGTTGTTTTTTTATTTTTTAAATTTTAACTCCAGTATAGTTAACATATAGTGTTCTGTATGGTTAGCAGCAGAGCTATCAGGGTCTAGCAACCGCGGGAGTACAATATAGTGTACAATATAGTGATTCAGCGATTCTGTACATTACTCAGGGCTCATGAAAAGTGTACTCTTTAATCCCCTTCGCCTATTTCCCCCATCCCCCCACCCACCTCTCTCTGGTAACCATCAGTTTGTTCTCTATAGTTAAGAGTCTGTTTCTTGGTTTGTCTCTCCCTTTTTTTTCTTTGCTCATTTGTTTTGTTTCTTAAATTGCTCGTATGAATGAAAGCATATGGGATTTGTCTCTCTCAGACTGACTTACTTTGCTTAGCATTATACTCTCTAGCTCCATCCATGTTGTTACAAATGGCAAGACTTTATTCTTTGTTATGGCTGAATAATATTCCATTGTGTATATGTAACATATCTTCTTTATCCATTCATCTACCAATGGACACTTGGGCTGCTTCCATAATTTGGCTATTGTAAATAATGCTGCAGCAAACATGGGGTGCATGTATCCTTTTGAATTAGTGTTTTCATATTTTTGGGAAACTACCCAATAGTGCAATTACTGGATTCTAAGGTAGTTCTATTTTTAACTTTTTGAGGAACCTCCATACTGTTTTTGCACCTGTTTGCATTCCCACCCAACAGTGCACGAGGGTTCCTTTTTCACATCATCCTTGCCAATACTGTTTCTTGTGTTGTTGGTTTTAGCCATTCTGACAGCTGTAAAGTGATATCTCACTGTAGTTTTGATATGCATTTCCCTGATGATGAGTCATGATGAACATTTTTGCATGTGTGTTGGCCATCTGTCTGCTTTGGAGAAATGTCTGTTCGTGTCTTCTGTCCATTTTTTAATTGGGTTATTTGTGTTTTGGGTGTTGAGTTGTAGCAGTTCTTTACATATTTTGGATATTAAGCCTTTATCAGATCTGTTATTTTCAAATATCTTCTCCCATTCAGTAGGTTGTCTTTTGGTTTTGTTGACTGTTTACTTTGCTGTGCAGAAGCTTTTTATTTTGATGTAATCCCGGTAGTTTATTTTTGCTTTTATTTCCCTTATCTCAGGAGACCTATCCAGAAAGATGTTGCTATGGCTGATGTCAGAGAAATTACTGCTTCTGCTGTCTTCTAGGATTCTTATGGTTCAGGTCTCACATTTAGATCTTTAACTCATTTTGAGTTTGTGTTTGTGTATGGTGTAAGAAAGTGGTCCAGTTTCATTCTTTTGCGTGTTGCTGTCCAGTTTTCCCAAAACAATTTGTTGAAGACTTGTCTTTTTCCCATTGTATATTCTTTTCCTCCTTCGTTGAAGATTAATTGACCATATAATTGTGGGTTTATTTCTGGGTTTTCTGTTTTGTTTCATTGATTTGTGTGTCTGTTTTTGTGCCAGTACCATACTGTTTTGATGACTATGGCTTTGTAATATAACTTGAAGTCTGGAATTGTGATGCCTCTGGTTTGTTTTTTTCAAGATTGCTTTAGCTATTTGAGGTCTTTTGTGGTTCCTTATGAATTTTAGGATTATTCTAGTTCTGTGAAAAATGTTATTGGCATTTTGATAGGGATTGCATTAAATGTGTAGATTGCTTTGGGTAGTATAGACATTTTAACACTATTTATTCCTCTAACCCACGAGCATGGAATGTCTTTCCATTTCTTTGTGTCTTTTTTCTTTTTTTTAATATAAATTCCTGATATATTCCATACTCTTGTACATTCTTTTCCCATCTCCCTGTGTGGTTCTTCACTCTCCCCTCCCTGGCTAACAATCTTCAAATTTCAGCTCAGTTAGTTCTTCAGAGAAGCCTTCCTTGACTTACTAGCCTAATTCCCTTTATTTTGAGACCCTAACTCCTGCTTGTTCACTTACTAGCTGTGTGACTTTGGGCAAGATACTAAACTTTGCCTTTCTCTTCTGTAAAATGAGGGTAATGATACCTGGTACCTATTGCCTAGGGTTAGTGGGGAATTAGGTGAGCTTTTACATTTAAAGTGCTTAGTCCATGCCTGGTACGCAGTAAATGCTCAGTATATGTTATTTCTTATTAATAATCACAGATGTAATTTTATACTTATTTACTTTTTATTTGACTAATATTAGCTACCTTCTGTCTTCCCCACTGGATTGTAGATTCTTTGAGGCCTGAAATTAACATCTTTTTTCGCTCAAAATAGTCTCCTAAATACCGGGAGCAGTGCTGGCAAATTTTAGGTATCCAGTAAATGTTTGCTAGTTGCATATGAGGCAGTGAAAAGAAAGGGACAGAGATGAGTGGGGAAGAACCGTTGGCAGAGTGGAGTGACTATTTGAATAAATTAGGAACAATTAAACCTGAGAAGGGATTGAAAATTGTAGTTCTCATTTACTTTTAGCTGCTACCTTGCGCTTTAAAAAAAAAAGATTTATTGGGATGCCTGGGCGGCTCAGTGGGTTGAGTGTTTACCTTCAGCTCAGGTCATGATCCTGGGGTTCAGGCATCAAGGCCCGCATCAGGCTTCTTGCTCAGTGGGAAGCCAGCTTCTCCCTCTGCCTGCTGCTTCCCCTGCTTGTGCTCTCTCTCTCTCTCTGACAAATAAATAAATAAAATCTTTTAAAAAAATTTAAGAGACAGAGAGCAAGAGCGCGTAACTAAGCCACCCAGGCGCCCCACCTTGTGCCTTTAAGACAAATTAGGAATTGTTCTTCACTTTTATTTATTTTTATTTTTCTTGTTCTTCACTTTTAGAAAGAATGGTTATGGTGTTAATAATTTTATTGCTTGGTTTTTGCTGTATTCAAAACTTTGGAAACATATTTCCAGTGTTAGGTCAAGTATTAAGTTTTATTCATAAATGGCAAAGAAAATGTTTGTGTTTGTGGTGACAGTGTGGAGGACCTTTGCCAACTCTTGATTATCATCAGCTAAAGCAAGTAGTATCATTTCAGTTCAAAAGACACAGGCCCAAAGGGTAAGCAACTAACACATAAATAGTAGAGGCATTTGGGGCAAGAGCTAATATAAAAGAAGAGATTATGCATGGAAGTATTGTGGTAAATCGAATAAATAGCATTTGTATCTTAATTTATTGGGTAATATAAAGAAAAGGGAAAGGAACTAATATTTTTGCCTTTTCCAATGTGCCAGATACTTTATAATAGTCAGTACTTACAATAACCCTGTAAGGTAGATTTCCATAATTACCTGCATCTCACAGATGAAGAAATTAAAGTGCAGAGAAGTTAAATAATTTGTCAGTGGGGTGAAGATTTGAATGCATGTGCCCTTGACTACATTCTGTTGCTTAGTATTTTTTTAATTGAGGTATAATTGACATACAGTATTCTATTAGTTTCAGGTGTTCATCATAGTGATTTGGCATTTTTATACATTAGGAAATGATCCCCATAATAAATCTGGTTACTGTCTGTTACCACACAAAGTTATTACATTGTTACTGACTAACTTCCCTGTGTTGTGCTTTACATCCCCATGACCCATTTATTTTATATCTGGAAGCCTAAACCTCTTTTTTTTTTTTAAGGATTTTATTTATTTATTTGACAGAGCACAAGCAGGGGAAGCGGCAGGCAGAGGGAGAGGGAGAAGCAGGCTTCCCGCTGAGCAGGGAGCCCAATGTGGGGCTTGATCCCAGGACCCTGAGATCTCAGCCTGAGCCAAAGGCAGATGCTTAACCAGCTGAGCCACCCAGGTGCCCCAAGCCTGAACCTCTTAATTCCCTTCACCCATTTCACCCGCACCCAGTCACTCCCCACTCGTGTAACTAATAGTTTGTTTCCTGTATCTATGAGTTTGTTTCTGTTTTTTTT